TCAATTGTATACTCTTTTGAGTATACCAAACATTTCAAGTGTGAAATTAAATATTTAGGTCGATCATTCATACCTGTCAAATTCACATTTCCTTTTCATTACGGACAATTTACCTATTTTAAGCTTTTCCAATTAAACTTTCTACCACACGCCACGAGATTTTGTCTAATATCCATATGATTTGTCATCAATTAAATCAATTAAAAAATTGGAGTTAGGGCGGAGTTTTATCAAATTGACTAACGGTTTTTTGCCTCCAATAAGGTAAACATTGTAGATATTGGACTTGGCAACGAAACATTCTGGCCAATTGAATCATTTTGATTTCCTTGTGTGGTTACAAATTCATACAAAAGAGTTGAATTGACCTTTTTGGAAGAGGAAGGTAGTGCTCTCCGTTTGTATAAAAAACCGGCTTCTTTTCGGTGAGATAAAAATTAAAGCAAATATGCGTAAGTAAGGAATACCATCAGATGTATTCCACGTTTTTATTCGTTTTGCTCAAATTAATGGAAAACACTTTATAATTTGATCAGTTCCCTCTCCTACTTAGCTCAATGATGAAAATAGATTTCGCTAGTTATGTTTGTTATTGGAAGTTTGAAAAATCCAGATTAACTTGGGAAAAAAGTCTGACCGTCCAAAAAGGAGTATACTTTTGGTTTTATCTGAACAGGCGAAGCACCCCTAACTGGCATGCGTGCATGGAAAAGATTCATAAGCTGTTGGACATGCTGCTGGTTTTCCTCACAAATTTCCTCTTATTGTATTTGCTACCCATTGGAAAGATTTGGCCGCGAACTACAACTTTCTGCTGCTTGTATTCTAATTTTTAACTTTCTTCGATCGTAGGTGTAATCGTTGAGGCCCATGAACTTATTTTCAACTCGCGTAAGTTCACCGATATACACTCAAAATTGGTCTGAGCATGCCATCATCAAACTAAAACGTGCGCGTTAAGAGTTTCTTGGTCAACCCATTAATTAAGAAAATATGAAAGGCTATCTTCATTCTGGCCCCAAAAAGCATTACCATAATGAAGGTTCCAAGATCCGGACTGCCGCAAATAAAAAAAAAATTTTACAAAACGACAACGCTTTTCGATTGAGTGTTGCAAAACCAAAATCGAAGTAATCACAACGGCCAATCAGATGAAAGGAAACACCAGAACTGACTAAGGCGCGAGAAAACGCGAGTGTCCAAGTCGTGATTGGTTTTAGTTTTGTATCTGATTGGTTGAGAAAGTTGCACGTGTGTTCTGGACTAATCACAGGTTAAATTGAAACAAAATGAATCCAATCCCGGATTACTCTCGACACTCAACTTAAAATTACTCAAAGATAAAACCCTTTAAAGCTGATAAGGCTGTACTCATCACCGCTCGGCTGGATAACGTGTGAAAATTGCGGGGAGAAATTGCTTGTAAACCACTTCAGGGAGTTAAATTGTTATACAATCAACCTTCGCTTAACGGACTCGTCTATAAGACGGTCACTTAGAGATCGTAACAACCGTTTCTTAGTCTTTTACATTGTCCTTAGCTCTTTTCAAAACAGACAGCTGTCTTAGACGGACTACGGAGACTTTGAAACAGTTACAGGACATAGGAACTGTGTCCTTTCTTTAGTGTAAATATGTCGGCTAGAAAAAAAATTGATGTTAGTAAATTTGTCTTGGTAATAAATTTCCTTGTAAATGCATCACGATGAAACTGGATGTCAAAAGACCTTTCTTTACTATTGGTAGTCTTAAAATCTTTCGCAATACGTCCCTCCCGAGCCAAGGGGGAAATGAATACGTACCATGCCCTATTTTTTCTCTAACCATAGTTTAATAACTTCCAAAACACCAAACATAGTCTCTTTTTCCTCTGACATCACACCCACGTAAAATGACAAAATTTGCAAAAATTTGAATACGTACCATGCCCTATTTTTTCTCTAACCATAGTTTAATAACTTCCAAAACACCAAAACACCAAACATAGTCTCTTTTTCCTCTGACATCACACCCACGTAAAATGACAAAATTTGCAATGACACAATCTGAATGGATACATTAGGCCTCTTTTGACCCGATGGTTGTGCAATACCAAAACGATGACAATACAATTAAACAAGCAAATTGTTTTTGCTTTCCTTGACAACAAACAAATGTCACCTAGACATGCTTTGAACGATATTCATAACCTTAGATACTCCAATCTGTTAAGTGACATAATTTTCCTGACAGAAACTCCACGTTTTTGTAAACACTTTTAACTATATCAATAAGCGAAAAAATTGTGGGTTGAGTCCGTCTTCACCTCCAGACCGAGGACCACACAAATGCTTTTAACGAAACCAAGTAACTACAAGAAAAATTCCACAACATTAACACCTTTAAATAAACGATTCGATTGAGGCCTTGAGCTACTGTTACTATTTCTTTTTTATTCCAAGCTTTAATTTTTTTTAAGTTTTCCCAAAATTTCCTGGTTTTGTCTGGTAAAACATTTAATAAGCTGCGATCTAACAATTTTCCTATTTTGGTCGTCAGATATCAAGCTCTCAGACGTCAATCTCTTTTTACCCGGGGATAAATTTATATATGACAGAACGCCATGGAAGATTAGTGGAAAAACGTACTCGAATGTTGTCGTGTTTTGCTTTTCCACAACTAATTCCAAGCCATCTGACCGTTTTAAGTACCTTAAAATGATGACAAAGTTCAAGCATTGAGGACGAACTAAGAATTATATAACAACAAATATCGATGTCTCACAGTTTAGACTGGACATCCAAGCTATTTTACATCGTATTTGGACACGAATAAAGCAGATCTTCTCAATGTTAAGGGGAAGACTTAAGAGGACTTTATGAAAAGGATTGCCCTGACTTTGTATATGATGAATTTGTCTTTCATCTGGAACCTCTTGCGGCTCCGTAAGTTACATCACTAGAACTGACAATTTTCCATCTATTCTATCCTTATAAGGCCACACGTGGTCACGAAAAAAAGAAGAGGAAAATCAGAAGGAAACAAAAAAAAAACAACAAAAAAAACGGAGCACTTACTAACGAGTAAGTATAGCTATGTGAACCAGTTAAATTATGTGACTTAATGAGATACTGTGGCCTCTTCAAAAAGTCAAACATCCGGAGTAAACCAACATTAGTTTTCTGACAGATCTAGATGGAACGATGGCATAATTTAATGGAATAATGGAATTTTTCTCTTCTCATAACATTTTTTGCCGACTATCGGTTGTATTTTGACAACATAAAACCAATTGAATGAAGCATCTTCGGTTTGGCATTTGCAAATTAGTTTAGAGTTAATTTTTCATCTGAGTGAGACTCAATTTAAAAGAAAAACTCAACAAAAAGGAACAGAACTAGGCAATCGACAGACTATGAAGCCATGATAAAATAGTCAACAAAGAATGTTGGCCACCAGGGAATTTCAGAATTTCAAGAAGTTATATATTGACACCCTCTCATACAGAGTTTTGTCATCGATAAGGGGATTAAAATCACTAATTATTTATCATTTGAGATTGGCTTTTGGTTTTCGCCGCTCTCTCAAAGATCATTGCACTGGAAATCACTTAGAAACGATTTGTTGAAATTTTAGGGTACAAAGCGACTTAATGCAGTCTGAGTAATCGGATGACAGCCGCACTAAGGTTCTCTTTCAAAGGAATTGGCGTGCTGACAGGTTAGAGCTGAAGAGGTATTTCTAGAAATTTACACTACTTTCATTGTATTCAGTGACAAATAAATTAAAAACCTGCCACGAGTCATTCCTAACGTTGTTTCGAGGAAAATTCAGATGACTGCGTTGTCGGCCAGGACGCAAGCAAGCAAACAAGGCTCAGTCCACCATGCAGCTTGTGCGGTATTTTTACTTGCTCAATCCCATTTCATCTCATTGTATGTTACCCAAGGCTTGAAGGATAAGCTTATGAATCTTCAGTAGTTTGGGTCACTGCGTACTTGTGTCACGATGATAAAGAAAAGGAGTCCATATACGATTATACTTGTAAATTTTACGAGATAAACAAACAATTTAGGAACAATTACTTGCATCAAGGGGGCAGGCAGTTGTCACCGAGAAGGATCCCTTTGGTCCAAGACCTTTAGTCATGGTCTGTCGATCGTTTGCAGTGCGCTGAAAAACATTTCTATGAATCATAAATCTTCAATCGATCATAGCTTCAAAGCGAGTTTTCGATCAAAATTTTTACTGCGTCTTTCCCACGATTTATTTTACTTCTGAATTATTTCGTAGGAGTGTAAAGGAGACGTTTCTGAACTAAAATCTCTTTTACTGGCGCCAATATCAGCGTAACACACTTATCGTGGTGGGTAGAAATTCTTTTGCAAAGTGGCCCAACTCTTTTGCAGTTGAAGTCAAAGTCTTTTGAATGCTCGACACACCCAGGCCAATTTCCCTTAGGTTTTTTTTCTTTTCTTTGTTACATACATGCGAAGCCAGCGGTTTCCGGCTTGGAAAGAAATATCCTTTAAAGTTCTGAGTGGACAAGAATTAAATAAAACTGATGCAAGGAATGACTATTTGAAAAGAAGTGGCGAGAATGCAGTTATGACTCAGACGGGTCATGACTAGAGGGACGAGATGTACTCGTAGATAGCTCTAAATCTTAATATTTAAGACACCTTCAATTGCAAATGGCGTACATATACCCAGCTGATTAGTCACTCGGGTATTTTATTGCTTTTCTATGGATTAAAAGCAATGGCAAATACACCACTTTTCCTATGTTTATCCTTTTTAGTCGTCTATCTGGCGACGTACTAAGAATTCATGAAAGAACACCCGACATAGTACGTATCTGATAATTCATTACCGACTATAGGCGTTTTTTTTTTTTTTTTTTTTGTTATCTAGGGAGTCTCTTAAATGGATGTAAAATCGTTTTAATTTAGAAAGTTCGCGAACACAAAATGGAAGATCAGCGAGATTTCTCAGTCTTAATAATTGGGGCTTAGCGCATAACTAATTTATATCTTGCAAGTGAAATGAAAACACTCACTTATTTGAAAAAAAAAAAGTAGTTATGTTCAAAGTAGACTGTTTATTTTTGGCCTAAAAGCATTATTACGTCTATAAACTTAATTCTAACGCACATTTTAAGCTTAAAGACTACTTTGAGCTTTCCTCGTCTACAACATTAAACGAAACTGACTACTTCAGCAAAACTTCAATTTTCATAAAACATAAATGTGAACGTTTTGGTTTCGCGTTACAAGCAACCACTGCATTAGCGGCGTAAAAACATAACAGCCAAGGTTGATCTAAACAAGTTGAAATGAGAAATTCAACACTTAAGGACTAGTGCAAATTGCTATCAAAATAATCTTAGGTTTAAGGTCAGTTAGGTCTCGTCTCTTCCGAAGTTGTTGTTGACAAGTGAACGAACCAATTAAAAGAACAAATTGGCTCAGTAGCATTGCTACAGATAAGATTACATTCAAAGAGAAATCTTTCTGTTTTCATACTAAGTCATTTCAAACAGGAACTAGACAAAAGCGATAATTCTGATTTAGAGATGACACAGAACACGTTTTTTTGATTTATTGATTAAGTTCACCGTGAGTCGCATGTGGAACTTTTGCAACGATTGCCTCCTAAACCCAAATAGCATGTATGAACCGAACAAAAATCAAGTGAAGTATTGCAAGACTTTACTTGACAGTCAAAGCTACTTGATGAAAGAGGAGGGTTAGATTCTCTTCTCCTCTTATGTCCTCCACATCACCTGAAATGGATTTTTAAAACGAATATAGGAGTATTAAATTGGAAGATTGACATGTGTTACCGAAAGCCAATCAGAGCTGAGAATACCTTCATCTGTTTATAAAACACATTAAATCAGTGCGCAGCACTTATTCGCTATTCTTCCCTTTCATTGATAAGTGTTTCTATTGAGTGAGCCATGAAGCTTCGTTTACTGAGTGTATTTTTATTTGTTATTTATTCAAGCAAAGTTATTGCGTTATGGTGGTGAGTACTGTGCAAAGTCAGAAAAGTCCTGACACACCAGAAATCCGCGGTTTAATAATCCCTATATTACTTAGCTTAGTAGATTACTAAAACATAGTACTTTTAATCGTCAATGCAGGTCACTCGAGACGTCAATGCAACAAGACCCTAATGTCGTGTGTAAGAAGACGCAGTCATTCTTCCAGAGAAAGGAAGACTTCTGCAAGTCGAAGCCCGAACTGATTTCTACCGTTCTAGAAGGAATGAAAGGTTCCGTCGAAGAGTGTCAGTGGCAGTTTAGAAACAGGCGATGGAACTGCTCGACGTCCAAGAATTCTGTCAAGAAAATTCTTCGCTACGGTAAGTGATAATGAACGCTAGCCAAATGCAGCTATCTGGTCAGACTTAATAAACCCTGCATGAAAGATTCATCGGCCGGTGCGTTGCTTGATCGCACAACAGACCACACTACTTGACTACGATGAGTAGGCCCATAAGACCTATTGCGTTATTCAACTTCAAGCTCTATTTTTTTTCCACAGACTACCGAGAGACGGCGTTCATCTATGCGATCACATCGGCCGGGGTTACCTTTTCTGTCACGCGAGCATGTAGCTTGAGTCATCTTCACCAATGTGGATGCCGCAAAGTAAATCCGAAACAGAAACAGCACGTCATCGCCAACAATGTCATTCAGTCGTTCCCTCGAAACGATTATCCTTCTGCAGAAAACCAAGTTCCAAGACAGGCATTTCCCATCGGCGAGAACGAGCAGTTCGAATGGGGAGGCTGCAGCGACAATATTCATCACGGCTACACGATGTCGCGGCAGTTGATGCAAGAAGTAAAAAGCAGAGATGGTCGATCCATGATAATCGAACACAATAATGAAGCAGGACGATTGGTGAGTGAAAACTATTTCCGGAGTTACACCAAGCTTTGTTATGAGTTGCCAAAGCCCTATTCATTTTCTCACTTAGATAAACAACAAACAAACAAGCGCTCGTTCCTGGTTTTCCGGCCTTAAACTCGACATTGCTGTAGCGGAACGCCAAATTATATCACCCAGACAGCTACGCAACCAAACACGCGCCCGTCACAACACAGCGCATTTTTGAAAGGCAGTGAAAGCAATTGTCATGCAATTACTACTAAGTAATAAGCTTGTTTAAGTTAACGAGGTCAGAAAAATATGCGCGTATTCTCTTGGATTCCACGGCACTTGAGTAACGAGCCAGCCGTTTGCTGCATAATTTAAAACAGATCAGTTTGTGATCATGGTAACTGCCGTTCGTTTGGGTTTGTCTCGTCTTTGGTGGTATCATTTATTTCAAGTTGATAGTACAATTTTGATTAGGACTTAAGCCCTGATAACAACATTGGGTGTTAAAGAGACTAGCATTGGCTTGCGAAAGTGCAGCACCTCTGGTTTCCGGCGGGAGCAGATTGTTTTCGCTGCTATCTAAAGCATTTTAACGCATCACAGAGATGCCGATAAGCCACCTAAAAGCAAAGAAGACAAAGCATAGCTTGGATGCAAGTGGCGTGAAAAAAGTTAATTTGTCACCTACACGACCGCTCGAACAATTGTCACGAAGCCATCCAATCTTAATGTTAATTTTTCCGAAGAAAAGATAAATTACATATACGCCTTCCACTAATCACCGAATTTGTTATATTTGCATACCTTTTGTGGCATCTCAGACCTTTGTTTACTCTTAAAGAGAATGAGTTAACAGTATAGCTTTAATTTCTGATTCCTCAAGCGGCGTTAAACAGAGAACACCAACAAACAAATGTTTTCTATCGATTTCAATGTTTAACCCAATTAAAAGTAAATTAAGACGCTTCAAGCCATCCCTTTTAATGAAAAGGCTGCATACGATCACTAGGACGTCTAAATGACTCAGTTTGCTTTAATCAGTTCTTCACACCATCGCATTAAATCTTCACAGGAATTTAATTTTCTAGTGTAAACTTTATTGACAGAGTAGTTAATTCAATTTTGACAGTTTACCTTTCGAGTGGAAACTGTGAAAGACAAGTGCCTCCGTCTTTGGCAGGTTGACATGAACGAATTCCCTTGGTAAATATTTGCGTCTCATTTAAAGTAAACCACTATTTTTGTCTCCTCTATACTAGTTTATCCTTAACACTGATCCAAGCGTGAAACAAATACTTTCAATTGGAACAAAGGTGCCGCAACTTAAAGAGACAACAGCCGCTTGGGAAAGTGATAGCTTGCAAAATTTTGAAACGCAAGTCTAGAAAAAGATACCTTCCACGATAAAATTAATCCAACATGCCACAGATAACCTAGCTAGATCAATCTTGAGTTAGTTGACAATAATTGTAACGTCCTGTTTGGTTTCTTTCACCTTTCCTAGGCAGTCAAGCGTAACATGCAAACAGAATGTAAATGCCATGGTCTCTCGGGTTCCTGCTCTGTTCAAACGTGTTGGGAAAAGATGCCGCACTTTAGAGACGTGGGTGACAGACTTAAAGCCCGTTTCGATTCTGCCATCAAGGTGATTATAGGAAATAGCGGAGATCAGTTAATCAAAGAAGGAGAAACAATAAAACCTCCAACAGAACTCGATTTGGTTTATACTACCTACTCCCCAAACTTTTGCAAAGCGGACCCCTATTTGGGCTCTCATGGCACTGTCGGCCGACGGTGTAATGATACAAGCATGGGAGTGGGAGGGTGTTAATTGCTTTGCTGCGGTCGTGGAGCAAGAATGAGAAAATTGATCATAAAAGAAAATTGCCAATGCCGTTTTCAGTGGTGCTGTACTGTTGAATGCAAGAGATGCAGGAGAGAGGAAGACGTTTTTACTTGTGAATAACCCTCCTGCTGCTCGGATACACACTAACACGCGAGAGACAGTCACGTCAAATGTCATGTGAACAATGGTACGCACTCTGCAAAGTTTATTTGAACGGCTACGATTATGTCCAACTTTCAGGAAAAGAACCGCTCCTTATGACAAGTGATACCCCAGATAGAGGAAAGTATTTAATATATGTTTTCAAATATCAATTTTAGCGGAATCCAATCAGACAGCTGGAGGTCACGGCACGACTAAATTGCAAACACTTGAACGTTGTGTCTGATAGAGATATGAATACTACAACGAAGGAATAGTCATGCAATGCCGTACAAGGATTTTTTCCAGTTACTGAACATTGCAAGTTGTTCGTGACCAAATGAACGCTTCAATGCCAAATTTTCAGGACAATCGAACCCACTGCTTAGTAGAAGTGAAGTACAGTACAGGATGAAAACAGTGTCATCTTGAACGATTTAGAAGTAGACACTCTTCATTTAATCCCCTTGGAGTTGATTAGCACTATGAGCTTTGAAGGGGTTCTTTAATTGTCGACGTTTATTGCAAACATTCAAAGTAACAGCAGGGTTTCGGGCTTCACGACAGAGAGCCTATACATAAAGTGTGACCTTTCAAATTACCTTCTAACAAGTGCTCTGTGTCTTTGACTAATTTATATAAACTCACGTTACAACCAAAACATTCTGCATTATTTCATGTTAATACCCAGTTGTTTTCTTTAAGGATTTCACTAATGAGGGCACAAAAGAACGGAAAGCTTAGTAAGAGCAGTTCAGTCCGGAAATCGCCATGTAATGGCCGGTCACATCAAACAGTGAGATAATGATATTTAATTGCGATCTTATCACCCGGAGAGCGTCAAAATGAAATCCAGGGAGTTCAAGACACGAGCATGATTAAATTTCTTTATAAAAAATCGTTATACACCGAAATGATTAGACATTGTAACCTTCTCCAATGTTACCAAATGACCAAATTATATTGACAAAACTATCACAAGCCGTGACTATTCATTCTCTCTTGACCCAACAAATTTATCACTTGGAGCTGAGAATTTTTGTCAAAAAGCGATTAGCAATGTTCTGATATTTCCCTTTTGTTTGATGTTTCTGATACACATGCCTCATATCCTGCTGCGATAATAAGCAGTTAGATATAAACAATAAATTTGATTGACTTCTTATGTGTTTTATTTTCCTCACAATATTCTGAAATGTGAAAAAAAAACAAAAAAAAACTGGTTTCGTTGTAGAAGCTACTTAAAGACAGTACGTGAATTATTTGCCAGTGATATTTACGAAAAGTACAATACCTTTATCTGCTACTTGCACGAAAGACTTATGTAAACAGGGCTCCTTGTGAACAACTTCAGGTTGATTTTTAATACTGGTTTAAAAAAGATTATTCTGTTATACTGTATAGTCGATTGAGGTATGGTGGCGATGACTGCGTTTTATTCTTAGGAGACTTTAACATTTGCAGTAATGGTCGGTCTAATAAAAGAATATAAATACTTTGTATATAGGTTTTAAAACAGAAATAAATGAATAGAATTGTTCTCCCCTCTTTGATTATTTTGAAGGAGTAAGTACAATGCTGTGACATTTATAAACTGTTACCTATTCATACGAGAGGGACTTTTAAAATCACTTAGAGCAATATCATCGATTTACAATTGTTCAGCGCTAGATTTGTTCGAAAATCCTCCTGATAGCATTAAACTCATCTGAAATTCTCTGATACGCATCAAAATGAAGAGCATTTCACAAAGAACTGCCAGCAATCCCGCATATTTCCTAACTCTTTCTTCATTTAACGTAGAGGGAGGTTTGAAAGGCTTATATGTCAAGAAGTTATTGAAACCACCCAAATAGAGATACACTGGCAACGTTTGTGAATATATGAAATCATATATTCAAACTGAGGTTAAAGAAATTAGTATGGGAGTGATATTCGCAGTACCCATCTGCTTAAACAGTTGTGAAAATAAGGCCTGAAAAAAATTAAAGCCTGTATGGGGTCCCGTACAGGCCTGAAATTTTTTCAGGCCTTATTTTCACTACTGCTTAAGTAGCGATCATTATTGCAAAGATCGCTCGCATACTAGAGATACACTGGGTAGATTTTCCTCCCTCTGAGATTAGGTGGAAGAAATTGCTTAATTTTGTGGGACGAAAAAATTTGCCAGTATCCTTGAGAAGATTGCGGCGATCAACACATGCTAAGATTTATGCCAGACGCAACGTGAGTAAGAAACAACATCACCAAATCCAATCAATTTGTGCATATCCTAAAAGTGCTGGGACACTGAGGCTTCGCTAATCTTAAGCCAGAAACAACAAAAGCGAAAACCAAAACAACCTGAGAAAGGAATAAGTTCGACTGCTATCGATTTTTGCACGCTTTATGTTTCAAAATCTGCGACCGTGGTCACTATTCAAAATATTGAACATGAACCTTTTCCGTGCAGACATCGTTCTCATTTAATTAATTCCTTTGTTTTGGACAGGAAAGAAGTCTGCACGAAAATCCAAACACCTGTTTTGACCGGTCACGTGACTAGACTTGAATGCCATAATTTTTCAAAGATATATAGACCCTTAAAGAACTTATGAGTGCTTTGAGATTAATGATACCAACTAGGAGAACACTCGATAGCCATACGAGGGGCGGGCCGTAAGCAATACTTGCCTCTTAAGTGCTCTCCAGATTTCTGTCCTATCTCATTATTCAAATAGCGCAACTGAACAGAATAGTTTCTCATAAAAATTGTTAATGCCTCATCTGCCCGAGAATTTCAACAACATTGTTTCTCGAAAGCAAACTTGGTGTGCTGTTGATTCAAACTTAAAAATTTACCATTGCTACAATGTCACAGGAGACTGTTATGATCACCAGACATAGCAAAGGCTTCCCTAAGACAGAAAGATTTCTAGCCAGTTGTAGTACGTATTAACTAACATTCGCTGAGAATACAATGCCCCTTTGAAGAAAAAAAAAAAAATAATACATCATGCCCCACGCAAAGGCTGCGGACAAAATTGATCAATGATATGTCATGCGGTTGACATTGAATTTGTTTGTAGTAGCTGGCACATCAATACCATATTCAATTTGAAACAAAGGCTAAGCTCTTTGATCTGGTGTTCTAGATAAAAGAAAAAAACGATCATTCTACTAGACATGCGAACTTCCGCCAAGAAATGCCAGATCCAGTCAACAATAACATAACGTTAAAACGTTCTTACGAAGTTAAAGGGGAAGAGGTAGACGGAGTTCTAAGTCAGTGGATATCATTATTATGGAGCCATGTAGGCCCTTGTGTCCTATTAAATAAAAGTTGTTATTTTCAAGTGGTGCTTATTCATTATGCTTTACCTGGTAAATGTCAATTACAAAATAACAGAACCTATGGAGGATTTGTCTGGTATGCGTGTTAATTCTTGAAAGAAGTATTGATGGTTACAGTGCGTGTTTGTGCTGTTTTTTGTCCATACTTCTCCATGCTAAAAGGTGAGGTCGTATCTCTCTGAAACCTCTAAATAAATGCAAATCTTGATGTGTACGTCAAGAACAACTGATTTCGTGTCATCGAATATGTGAAAATAACCATCTTTCGACAGGAAGAACAGGGATTGTGTGGTGATCAGTACGAGCCCGGTCCAAAGTTAACATCCTAACTGATTTATGTTTTTAAATATGTTATTTATTTCATTCTTTTTACGAGGGCTCCTCTCATAGTTATCTCTTATTTCTCTCTTCCCCAAAAACAACAACTATATCACACGCTTCAATTGGATCCGTTGTATACGTGTACGAGTACTTACGAACGAACTCAAACTTTTCGAGAGCTACATTGTGCATTTGATTGCGTGGGAGTCAATTATGAAACTAAATTTACATCTATTGGTTAATTACAAAGTTATGGGAGAAGTATAAAGGTCATTATAAGACAGGAAGTGCAAAGTTCAGAAAAAAATTGAAAATACGATATAAAAAAGACGTCCTTATGCCTTATGATCATGATCAGGGCATTGCATGCGGTAATCATCACCACAGCAACAGAAATAATGCATGGAGCAGAACCATAACGTAAGACTGACCACCGTTAGAACAACTGCATTTTCTAAGATCCCTATTTGATCCTTATGCTGAGCCATTCTTAAATAAGAAACACTCATTCAATCATGTATAGACAAAGGATACCTCGGAGTTTCAGAGCCATACTCAAATCAAAATTTTAACAACATACAGTTAAGAGAAAGTCCGAGTATTAAATGTTCCAGTATCATTTACTATGTTCCTACGGACTTAACTCGAGACACTTGTTCTTCTCAAAAACGCGTTGAAATGTTAAGGAGCACTGAGTTTTGGCTTATTAAATCTTTACTACCAAACATTTTTCAATTATCTGCTGTGTCTTTTAGAACTATCTCGTACTATCTCGTACCGCTATTAAGATGATGAAACAGTGATTGAGCGGTCGAATGAAGTCGGTATTTGTAAGAAAAGTGTTTCCATGATGTACCTAGTGCATATCTGTACACAGTCAATCCCTTGTCTACCAACGATAAATCAAAGTAAAGACAAAGAAAACGATTTGATAGCTGCACAGATTTTCTTGTTACGAGCATTTATTATAATGTCCATACATTGCGTGTGGGCAAACTAAAAGTTTTGTCAGTGAATTGTACCATTTCAATGATTATCATGAGAGAAAGACCCAAATATCGTGATGCAGATAGGAGTTCTCAAGTGTCGTCCCCGATAGAAAATCGGGTCAGGACTGCAGGCCAAATCTCTTTCGGTAAATGTCTCTCGCAACCCTAACCCCTAGACCCTGCTGCAACAAAACTTTCGCACCACTAAGCTGAGACGACATTGGGGCATAGAGCTTGCCTACACAATTCACTAGGTCAAAAGTAAAGATAACCTGATTTGCAAACATCCCTTGCGGGTGAGTGAGTGAATATGATCCAAACTGTGTGAAAGATGAAGCCTGTAGCGCCCATTACATGAATAAAAACTGAAAGAGGTGAGACCAACCTAAGAGTTTTGCTCCAGCTACTGTTAAGGCAGGCTATCAGCTCTGTTTGTTGTTTGTTTCGTCTCCCCTTAACCACTTTGAAGTCGTTCTGAAATGTTCAAGAACTTGAGCTTGATGCTTCACACTTGAATTGGATCTAGGCCCTCGCGTTCTGGACAATGGACCTTGATACAGAAAATAAATGTAAGTTAGACGATACCTGTGTAACCTTTTGCTTGCTGAACTCAACTTCCGGGATTACCAAAGGTGAAGTGGTAAGGTAACCTGCCTACACAGTTTAAAAGGGTTTGGGTCATCTACTACCTTAAATATACCTTGGAATTCCCCATGTCATGCCTTTCACTTTCTCTTAGAAAGCGAAAATGTGCCAATTTTTTCGGAAGGCTGATGAGATATTTGTAAAAGGGAAATTATAAATATTTTTCTTGTTGTTGTCAATCTGCACAAATATGAAATCTTTAATCTTTGTCAATTAGAGTAATCAGCTTAAGAACTAAGAAAAACTACAAACATGAGTGGTCTTCTCAGAGCAAGTTGCGTCGTTCTTTGTTCATCTCTAGCGTGAGCCGCTAGCAGCCAAAACCGAAGGCAAAATCTTCACTTATTGTTATAACTGACAACGATGATTTGTTCTCTTACTTACACAGAAAGCATTTATTCGAGTTTTAATCAAAAAAGTGTCCAAGTAAAACAATACTCAATGTACATAACAAAGGAATCTTTTAAGTGAAGTAAAACACGCATTTGAACAAGTTACATCTTTACCAGAAAGTAAAAATCACTTCGATTGCCTTAACGTGGGTAGTATTCATTCAGCCCTACGCGAGACTTTTCGAATGGAAAACATCAGCTCTAGCATTATTTTACACACTTAAAGTTAATCATCTTCATTTTCACTATTGCGTAAGACCTCTGAGCACTTTGAGATTCGGTACTGTAGAATCCCTGAGGTAACAGACAAGGGTAAGGGCTCCCAGAGACATTATCATCTGAACACCCTCCAAGAGTAAAGACCTCAACGACGGCCCTTGGAAAAATAACTCCTACGCCTACAAATCAGCTTATCATACTCTTTATTCCATAACTGAAATTCTCTTTCGGTCTTAATCAAGAAAGTGGATGGCAACTTCACTTCCAATTCCAGGATCACTGGATTCAAGGTCACCAGGACTGGACACTCCTTGCTTTTACAAATAGATTTTTTGAAACAAGGTCTTTCAGATTTGAGGATTCATTAAAAGAGAAACTCTCTGACGTTAAGAGCAATGCGTATGGAACAGACTGACTGTAGGACTAAACGATGTGAAGGATCAGAAGCACTAATTGGAAGGTCACAGTTTTGACTCCATTTGGAACTGCTTCAAACCTCTCAGTTTTGAATTTTTGTAATCCCCCTCGATAAGCCCAGGTGCTTTTGGGGAAGAAAATGACAAATATGTTAAAAAAATACTTCTGAATCTTCAAACTTGCAGTTATCTGTCATTCACTAAACAATTATCAGACATTGACAAATG